AGAAAGAAAGAAAGAAAGAAAGAAAGAAAGAAAGAAAGAAAGAAAGAAAAAGAAAGAGAGAAAGAAAAAGAGAGAGAGAAAGAAAAAGAAGAAAGAAAGAAAGAGAGAGAGAGAGAGAAAGGAGGGAGGGAGAGAGGAAGGGAAAACAGCAGTACAAGGCAGTACCTGTTTAGAGTAAAATCATGTGGAGGATGCCTCCCCTGAATTCATCCACCACTCACCCCACCTGCACCCTCAGTGGGAAGTCCCAGAGGCCTCCTCTGCCCCATCCCAGAGCTGACTGTGGGTATAGGGGTCATTTCTCTTTCTTTTCCCTCCAACCCCTTCCCCTGGATCTGCCTGCATCACCAGCAAAGAGAGTCTGGCCCAAGTCCAGCCCACTTCCCATTTTGTAAATAAAGCTTTATTGGCACACAGCCATGCCCTTTCATGTACATATCATCTATAGATGCATTAGCTCTACAATGGCAGCTTTGAGTGGTTGCAGCAGAAACCATCCAGCCCACAAAAACAGAAATATTTATTATCCACCCCTTTACAGAAAATGTTTGCCAACTCCTGGTTTCTATCTACAAGCCCTGTCACAGGCAAGGATGAGACCAGGTCAGAGGAGTGAACCTAAAGAAGCGGGGGACAGGGAAGACAGGACGGGCCACCGTCACTCCTCATCACTGCTCACCCCCCCTCCATTCACTCAGCAAGGACAGGCCAGGTGCCCAGAGTCCAATGCGGGAGGAAGCAGGCAGGCAGGCAGGCCCCCACCCTCCCAACCGTCCTACCCCCCCCACCCCCCCACCCCCGGCCAAGCTCCCGGGCCAGTGGGTCTCCAGATGGCTGCAAAAGGGCCTCCAGTAGGGCAATTCGGATTGAATGAAAGGAGAACGAATTAGAAGGCTTGTGTTCAGGCCATGAGGCATGCAGAGCAAGGCCCCCAGCCCCAAGGGTGGCTGACTGAGGGCAGTGAGGGGCCCAGGCCTAAGTGGGGAGGAGGCTGGGGGAGGACCGAGCGCAGCCCAGAGGGGAGAGGGGCTCGCGGCGCGCTGTTCCCTCCGCACCCAGCCCGTCTCCTCCCACCCCTGCAGCTGCGAGGTGCGCCCGGGACCAGAGTTCCTGACCCGCGCCTACACCTTCTACCCCAGCCGGCTCTTCCGAGCCCACCAGTTCTACTACGAGGACCCCTTCTGCCGGGAGCCTGCCCACTCGCTGCTCGTCAAGGGCAAAGTCCGCCTGCGCCGGGCCTCCTGGGTCACCCGGGGCGCCACCGAGGCCGACTACCACCTGCACAAGGTGGGCATCGTCTTCCACAGCCGCCGGGCCCTGCTCGACGTCACCGGGCGTCTCAACCAGACCCGCGCCGGCCGGGACTGCATGCGGCGGCTGCCCCCGGCCCGGGCCTGGCGGCTGGGGGCGCTGTACGAGCTGCGGAGCGCCCGGGCCCCGGGGGACTGCCTGGAGGCGCTGGGCCTCACCATGCACGAGCTCAGCCTGGTCCGCGTGCAGCGCCGCCTGCAGCCGCAGCCCGGGGCGGCACCCCGGCTGGTGGAGGAGCTGTACCTGGGGGACATCCACACCGACCCGGCCCAGAGGCGGCACTACCGGCCCACCGGCTACCAGCACCCGCTGCAGAGCGCACTGGTGAGTGTGGGGCCTCGGGGGTGGGGGCGAGCTCGGAGCCCAGCCCCGCAGCTCCGCACGATCTGGGCCTGGCCAGGGCTCCAGCTGCCCGGCTCTCGTCACCGCCCCTTCCCACTCTGGTCCGCGTGCCTCAGGACACTGGCGCGCCCTGTGCCCGCTGCTGGAAACGTCTTGTCTCAGCCTTGACAAGGCTGGCGGGCCTCTGGTAGGCCTTCCCACGCTAGTCCTCTCCAGCCCCTGGCCTCATGGGCACTGCAGGATCTCATTTCTGCCCCTGCTGGGCATAGAGGCTTGGGCGGGTGTCCCTCCCTTGGCTCTCAGCTGAAATTTCCGCTCCAGTCCCCATTCTGCTGTTCCCCGTTTCCCACGAGTGACCTTGCCAGCTCTCTGCCTGCTCTGAGGCTCTGTTGGTGACTTGTTTATTGCTTCTCTCTCTGGCGCTAGCTAGGTCCTTCACAAGGGGCAAGCCATCAGGCCTACAATCAGGACCAATAAATGCGAGTGGATGAATTAGGGAGAGGGCAGCTTTCCTCCAGTGCTCTGCTGGGGCCGCGCACACCAGCCCAGATACCACCCCCTTGAAATCTCGTGCGAGCCTCACGCTGACCTAGCAGCAGAGCCACTGGGGCACCGTCCCCTGCCCACTCCCATACTAGACGGTGAGGTCACACGGCCTGGGCTTCTTGTGAGAGGGCCGAGAGGGACCTGGCAGGCCTGGGTGGAGCCCAGGGTTCTGCATTGTCGGCAGCTGGCCAGGGTGTGGGGAGGCCCCACTCTAAAGGGAACCACCCTCTCTTTGACATGTCCCCCTAGACTCCAACACAAATTTCATTTAAGCTGATTAATCTAGATTTTAGATGAAGCCACTGCACACATACCGTCCTAATTTGGGGAGAATCTAGTAGCCTCCCCACCCCCCCTTACACACACACATACTTTATTTATTTATTTTTCCGCCTGATGAGGAAACAGGCAGAAATGCGACTTTATCTGTGTAATGGCTCTGGCACATAGCTTAGAGCCTGGCTTTTAAAGGGTGGGGACCTAGGACCTTCCCAGTGCCCGAGACCCCTCCAGTGGCTGGGGGAAGCCTAGGACCCCTCCTCAGAAAATCTGTTTTTAAAAGCAAAGGGGAAAATACATGGATTTAAATGAAAACCAATTCTATTAAAACAGTTGCCCAAGTCTTAAAACATTAATTTGTGATATAGAAGAATGACACATATGAATTCTTTATTTGCCCTCATTTCAAAGCAGGGATGACAGCAAATCATGTTTTAAACCTTGTTGCATCACCTTCAAAAGCACCAGAGAGGAAATGTCTTTTCTTACCCGTCTTTCACCTTAAAAGTTTGCTGGTTCTCAATTTGTTTCTGCTCTGCGGAAAACCACTTGCCCTAAGTTACCAACTAGCATCCACAGTACCCACAATGCTGATGGCGTGATACTGGTGACAAAGTCAAGGGTTCTGCTGATGCTACTGGGGCTTGTTGCCTACATTTACAATGAGAAGAAATGTGAACTTTTATTCGTTAAAAGGTAGTGAAAATGAAGTTGAGGTTAGCATTCCAAATTAAAAACTTCTGGGCCAGGCACCGTGGCTCACACCTGTAATCCCAGCACTTCGGGAGGCCAAGGTGGGTGGGTCATGAAGTCGAGAGATCGAGACCGTCCTGGCCAACCTGGTGAAACCTGTCTCTACTAAAAATACAAAAATTAGCTGGGCATGGTGGGGAGCACCTGTAGTCCCAGCTACTCATAGGCTGAGACAGGAGAATCACTTGAACTCAGGAGGCAGAGGCTGCAGTGAGCCAAGACCACACCACTGCACTCCAGCCTGGGTGACAGAGCAAGACTCTGTCTCAAAAAAAAAAAAAAAAACTTCTGTACAAGGCACCTAATGCATACTTCTTGAGCAGATGGAAGGGAGGATGGATGAATGGGGATGGATGGATGGATGGATGAGTTCAGCATCCCATGAAGTCCTCTTGGAGCCCTCAGGCCATCTTCATGTTATTCAGCATGTATTTGTTGCCTACCGTGTACTAGACACTCAAGGATCTAAACCAGATGAGGCAACTTCTCTCCCCTGGGAGCAACCACTTGTCACTGTTCCAACGCAGGAGTACTGTGGATCAGACAGACCCGAAGCCTGTCTACCTTCCTCCTCTTCCCCCACTCCCTCCTCCAAACATAGGATCTGGGCAGCAGAGAAAGAGCGTGACTTGAAGTTCTTATAATCAGAAAATCAGCCTCAGAATTCTTTTTATGCCCTCAAATTATTCCCTTTTTGGCCACCAGTGTTCTAGGCTGCTCTGGTGCTAATCCTACCTCGTTCAGAGAAGGCGCTAGTGGTGAGTCGATTAGCGACCCCTACTACCTCATTAGGAGGGGAAGCTGCTCTGAATGTGGAGAGGACAGAGCCCGGGGGCTGCGGGGGCTGACAATTTCATTCATCCCCAGGCTGGACTCTGGGGTCATGACTGTCCCTGCCCTCCCTGCTGCCTGGCCAAGCCCAGTGGCCAGTCCAGCCTGAAATGTGATTGAGAAGTAAAACACACAGAAATATATGCAGAGATGCACAGTGCCAGATGTACAGACATTAAATTAAAGGTCCACTCACCAATGGCCCCTCTCCTTGGGAAAAAAAAAAAGAAAAAGAAAGAAAAGACAGATAATTTCAAAGAAGGAACTGCTGCAGAGTAATGCCCAAGTCACGAATCAGTTGTTGCCTTAAGCTCTCTGGGCCCACGCCTTGCCCACGGCCCAACTAGACGGTAAACCTGAAGATTTTTAGAAGCTAATTTAAAACCAATTTGATCCCTAAATTCATTGCCTGGATATAGAATCCCAATCAATCAGCCACCACTTGACCAAAATCATCTGTGCCTGGTGTTACCTCTGGGGGTTAATTAGCAACTGTTATGTGCTGTTTGAGAAATAACTTTATGTAACAGGCTTAAACCAGTAAGAGTTTGGTTTCTGCACAAGTGTGAATTCTGCCGGCTGGGGGCCTTGTTCATTAACGTGTGAGACTCCAGACCTCTGCAGAAAGATGCCCAGAAGATTTCCGATGGAGACGGGGACGTTGTTTCCCCACCTTCAACAGCACCAGAGAAGGAAATGCCTTTTCTCACCCCTCTTTCGCCTTAAAAGTTTGCTGGTTCTCAATTTGTTTCTGCTCTGCAGAAAACCACTTGCCAACTAGCATCCCCAAATGTCCTATCTGCAGAGAATATCTTTTTGTTTGTTTGTCTTTTGTGGTGAGGACGGATAGCTCTGGGATTATTTTGCTGTAATGCATTATGTCCTCTCAATATACATGAGCGTGACAGCCGTGGGAATGTGGGTTAAAATGCCAAAGTTAGACTCTTGTCAGCCAGCATCCCAACCACCAACACTCCAGCTAACTCCAGCAAGCTTGCTTGCTCCCGTCACAAACATTTCTGCAGCCATTTGCTAGCATTTCAGAGAACTGTCAAACTCTCTGGGCCCAAATCCCTATACCAAAGCCAATATGCTCTCCCATATTATATAAATCAAGGAAACTTAAGGTTCATTATAGAAATAATAAGAACTTATAAAACGTGATACACCACCCCCCAAAAAAACTGTTCTCAATCATTCAATATTTTCTTTCTAAACCAGAACTTCTAAAGGCCACTTGTTTGGCATGAAACTCACTCAGCAGTGCTCTGTGGAAATCTTTTGTGTTTTTTGCCAGAAAAAGATATATTGGAGCTGATTTCTCAAAATGCACCCTTCCTGTGCCTGTCCTGCCTAGACCCCAACTCTAAGTTTCCTCCTGGAATGGCAACAGCAGGAGACATTTTCTTGTTCCCACATCAGCTTTGACAAGTTCCAAGGCCATTTACCTTCCAGAATGGTGCTCTGGACTAAAGTCTGGGCAGCAGCTTCTTTTTAGAAATAAAGTAAGAAGAAGAAGGAGAAGAAGAGAAAGAAGGACGAGGAGGAGGAGGAGGAAGAAGAGGAGGAGGAGGAGGAGAAGGAAGATGAGGAGGAGGAGAAGGAAGAGGAGGAGGAAGAGGAGGAGGAAGAGGAGGAAGAGGAAGAGGAGGAGGAGAAGAAAGAGGAAGAAGAGGAAGAGGAGGAGGAGGAGGAGGAGGGGAAGGAAGAGGAAGAAGAGGAAGAGGAGGAGGAGGAGGAGGGAAGGAAGAGGAAGAAGAGGAAGAAGAGGAGGAAGAGGAGAAAGAAAAGAAGAAGAAGGAAAAAGAAGCAAGAAGTCTGTATCTGGCTCCTTTTTGGCATCTACTGAGCTTTTTCACTCCAAAATGCAGACTAACTACTCCCACGCAATTTGGTTTAGCATCTGTTTCCTGTTGATGTGTTTTACTGTAAACCCAGCTCATTAGCGTTTGTAAGGCAGAAACAACTGTAAATAAGGGCAAAGATAGAGGAAAACCAACTCATAGCCTGGGACAAGTGAGGGTGTGGCTGGTTTTCCCCATAACAAATAACATGGGAATGAATATCTTTGAGCCACAGCTCTTTACGAGTTTTCAACTATCTCCTTTCCACAGACTTAAGCAATGGGCTTCCAAAGACATAATTGGTTGTTTTGTTGTTGTTGTTGTTTCTGAGAAGATGTCTTGCTGTGTCCCCCAGGCTGGAGTGCAATGGTATAATCTCGGCTCACTGCAACCTCCACCTCTCAGGTTCAAGCAATTCTCCTGCCTCAGTCTCCCAAGTAGCTGGGATTACAGGTGTGTGCCACCACACCTGGCTAATTTTTGTATTTTTACTACAGACGGGGTTTTACCATGTTGGTCAGGCTGGTCTTAAAGTCCTGACCTCAAGTGATCCACCCACCTTGGCCTCCCAAAATGCTGGGATTGCAGGTGTGAGCCACCGCGCCCAGCCCAGAAATATTTTGATGGCTTTGATCCTTGTTGCCATATTCACTTTCCATGGGGTAGGTAGAGCAAGTGATGCTCGCTTTCCACTGTGAGATTTCTAAAGCAAAAATATAGGGAAGATGTAACCTGCTATGAGCCTTTTGGCAGGTTAGAGTCGGGGCTCAGACAGCCAGGCATAAGCCAGGCTGCATTTCAGCTGGTCTCTGCCACTTCCAGGCTGGACAACCTGGTCAGCCCAGCTGGCCCTCTGGGTCTCAATTTCCTTAGCTACAACATATACCAGTTGCCCAGTAAGTGCTTAGCACTTTGGAAATATCTAGAAGGGTGAGATGGGAAAAAGATCAACTTTAATGGTCAAATTCCAGGACCAAGCAGACCAGGCATGAGCAAGGACAACTTCTCTCAGGTCCAAGATGAAGGCCCACCTGTGCTTCCCTTCATTTCTCATTTATTCATACAACAAATGTGTGCTTGCTGTGAGCCAAGCCCTGTGCGGTGGGGGTGGGGAGCGCAGAGAGACGGTCCTGGTTTTCTAGGGCTTTTCAGAACCATAAGGCATAATGCGTTACAGTCTGATGAGGAGTGAGGAGTAGAGAGGAGAGTCTCAGGGGGTGGAATGAGGAAGTTGAGGGTGACGGGGCAGCCCTGAGGCCCACCTTACATGGGGGCATTCGGGAAAGCTCCCTCTGGTGCGGGGCTGAGACCTTAGGGGTGACAAGGAGCTGGCAGGGAGTTCCAGGTGGAAGGGACAGCAGGAGAACCAAGGCCTGGGGAGGCTGGGGCTGACCTCCATCAAAGGATAGCAAATAAGCCATCCTGGCTGAAGGCAGAGAATGGGGAGAGAAAGGAGGGAGGTCTAGGCTGTGCCTCAGCCTGCCTTGACACCCCTACAGAACTGGGGTTCCTTTCCAGGCTGCACCCCAACTTCGCCATGGGAGACAACCACTGTTTTTCTGTTTGTCTTTTGCCAGCACCATGCGCAGCCGTGCCCGGCCTGTGGCCTCATTGCCCACTCCGATGTGCACCACCCGCCGGTGCTGCCGCCCCTGCTGGCCCTGCCCCTTCGCCTGGGCGGCCGGTGGGTCAGCTCGGGGTGCGAGGCGCACCCAGCGGTCCTGTTCCTCACCCGGGTCTTCGCTTTCCATGGGCGCAGCCGCTCCTGGGAAGGGTATTACCACCACTTCTCAGACCCCGCCTGCCGGCAGCCCACCTTCACCATGTATGCTGCTGGCCGCTACACCAGGGGCACGCCATCCACCAGGGTCCGCGGTGGCACCGAGCTGGTGTTTGAGGTCACACGGGCCCATGTGACCCCTATGGACCAGGTCACCACAGCCATGCTCAACTTCTCAGAGCCAAGCAGCTGCGGGGGCCCGGGGGTCTGGTCTGTGGGCTCTGAGCGCGATGTCACAGCCACCAACGGGTGCCTGCCACTGGGCATCCGGCTCCCACACGTGGAGTATGAGCTCTTCAAGATGGAGCAAGACCCCCTCGGGCGAAGCCTGCTCTTCATTGGACAAAGGCCCACCGATGGGTCAAGTCCCGATACCCCAGAGAAACGCCCCACCTCCTACCAAGCACCCCTGGTGCTCTGCGGTGGGGAGACCCCCAGCTCCTACAGGCCCCCGCAGCACAGCCCATTGCTGCAAAAGCACTCCAGCACAGGGGGCCTTCGCGTAGCCCCCCTCCCGCTTCTGCCTCTAGTTCTAGGGCTGGCCTTCCTCCACTGGCTATGACAGTGGACTTGACATCAGGATGGTGGCTCTGGATGCCCATCTGACCATTCAGGCTCCCTCCTGGCAGCTGTAGGGAAGGACCCATTCTCCTCTGCTCTGTCATGGATGATGCACAGCCCCCCTGCTTCCACACTGTGCCTGTGCCCCACGTGGTTCAGGCCATGAGCTCCACACCTGCAAAGGCTATGCCACATCCCGCAACCCGGGTCCCCAGCCTCGTGCTTGGACGCAGCAGCGATGTTCATTGCTACGTGTGTTTCTAAAGATCACTCCCAATTTTCTACTCTCCTCATCCTTGGCAGCTTCCAACAGGTGCAGGCAGGGGACATCCCACGCTCCCCACAGGTCTTCCCGTCCTAACCTGACCCTTGGGATTCTAAGATGGGAGCAAACGGAGACCCTTAGGTTCTGCCTGGCGATGGGGCCAACTGCGCTGCCAAGTCTGTAGGCTGTTGTTGAAATATTATTAATTCCAATTTAGCAATACAATCTCTAAGTGGTGCCATGAATTAAAGATGCCACTTTGGGCTTTCAGTACTTCTCAGCTTTCTAGTGAAGGGCTTGTGTCTTTGGGGGCAGCTCAGCTTTCCTGAGTCCTCATTGCTGGCATTTGCCTACATCTGCCTGTGCTTCTGCGAGTTAGACCTCAAGCTGCCAGCACTGCGTGTGGATAAATCCAGCTCTCCCGGGCCAGCATGAGAGTGAAGAGGACTCCCATCTGAGCTGGGAAGTGTGGTCTCCCCAGAGCAGCCTGCGGCTTCTGAGCCTCCCTGGCCCACAAGAACACCAGCGTGCACCAGGCTGGCTGCTGGGGGCAGGTCTTCTGCATTTCGCCCTGCCCAGCTGTCCTCGGTTGCCAAGACTCCCTGTGCTTGCCTGACAAAGGAAGAGAACCTCGAGATGTGTATCTTTAGGCCCATCCTAGAGGAGAGGTCGGGGTCGTCAGGCCACATGGCAACATCTGGGCAGCTCCACCTTGCCCAGCCTCCTTGCCATGGTCCTAATATATTGGTGTCCTGCACAGAGGGGACTGTCATCATAGTGGGGACAGACTGTGCCCCTCCAGGGACTCTGCCTCATCTGTACACTGTGAAATTAACTGGCATCTGGGTGGGCCCAAGGGTTTTCAGGATGGGGGGCTGATGACTCACCCCTCCTTCCTCCTCCTGATCCCTACCTCTAGCTGTAATCACAGATTTTGAACAATTGTCTGTGAGGTTAATGATGCTTTCAGAGGGAAGCCCTTGTCTTCCCTGAGACTGTATGGGGTTCAATCAGTCTGCTGAAAATGCTCCCACTTATTACCCATTCTTCTTTAAAAAAAAAAAAAAAAAAAAAAAAAGCCTACCAAGTTAATATTCTCTGTAGGTCTCAGCCAGCTACGTGTCTTCCTGGCATATTTACCAAGGTATAAGAAATAATTACATTATTTACGGTCCTAGACTACATCAGGGTGGGGGAGCTTCTGGGGGAGACGGCAGTGGGTGTAGATGATGTGTCCACGGCTGAGCAGGTCTTGTATCCGAGGCTTGAAGCAACCATGCCACCATTTATCATCAAATTTGAATCTTTTAATAAAATTAAACAGCCTGAAAAATGTTCTTGCTGGTTATTAAAGTCAATCAAGGGGATTATGGTTCTAAAGAAAGGAAGTGGAGTATCTTCCAGAGAATGTGTGAAAGAGAATAAAACCAATGGAGGTAAACCCAGCTCTCTCCGTTCTGCTCGCATGCCACACTGCCTGCCCCTCTGAAAACCCCTCAGGGGCTAAACCGATGGAGATAAACCCAGCTCTCTCCGTTCTTGAATGCCACTGCCTGCCCCTCTGAAAACCCCCAGGGGCTTCCACTGCACTCAGAATAAAGCCCAACTTCCTGCTCCTGTTGCCGGCAAGATTCAGCCACACCCCCCATGCCTCCCCACGCCTCCCCACACCTGGCAGACTGGGCCTTCTCTGTTTCTTGATCACAGGAGCTGTCGGTGCCTCGGGGCCTTTGTACAAGCTCTGCCTTTTGGTTAACATCTCTTCCCCAGACCTTCAGAAGCTTAGCTCTTTCTTTTCAATCAAATCTCAGACCAGATGTCACCTCCTGAAGATGTCACCATTCCCATCCCAAAGAGCAGCCCCTTTTCCCTGGTCTGTCATTCCGTTGCATCACAGTTGTGCGGTCTTTGTCATGAAAAGACATCATTGTCGGAAGTGAACTTATTTGCCTAGAACGTAAGCTCCAAGGAAAACAACTGGGTTCTAACTTACTGCGATCAAGCGTCCGGTGTGCCTAGTGCATTGTAGAAAGCCCTTCAATAAATATGGCTGACTCAGCAAATGCCGGTGATCCCTGTTAAGCCTCACACTGAAACCTTTGAACGGGCCACCTCCATCCACCAGGTCAGTGAGAGGGGTGTCAGTCTTTGCATCTTACACTCGACGACACTAAGGCACAGAGAGGAGAAGGGGTAGGCTCCAGAGCCTGAGATCCGGGCTGCTATTTCACAGCATGCGGGCTTGGGGTGTCCTCCTGACTCCTGGAGGGAATGGAATTCCTCGATTTTAGTTGGGGAAGGCAATTTAGCGTTGCCTTGAGGGATGAGGCATGAGCCATCCCTACTGAGGAGGAGTGTATTCGGCAGAACGGCAGCTTCCTGAACCCCCTCGATTGGACTTAGTTGCTGTCTACTCGCTGGGGCTTGTTAGTTTGGGGGCAGGTGATGCTACCAGGAACTGTGAAGGCTGAAGGAAGGGCAACCGTCCCTTTCTCCCAGGCAGAAGGTCAGGGCTTCCAAGACTCTGGGCTGATAAATAAAGGGGTCATTTCAGAGGCTGAGGGGCTGAGGCGACCCCTGTCCACGGGCACCAAGCCTTCCTCCAGCCCTTTGCTCCTGCCCCTTAAGTCTCTGCCCTTCATGTAAATTGTGAGGGCGCTCTCATCCACAGAGGGGAGGGAAGCCCAGAGGCCTAGTGCAAGATAAAATTCATGTTCTCCATTGCATGTTCAGTCACGTTTAAAGTGGGGTGTGGGTGGGAAGCCCATGCAATTGATAATTTCATAACCAAACTCCCAGGAGAGCAAATGAGGCTTTTTTTTCCTAAATAAAAAGTTGAAATTGTATACAGCCCACAGAGGTCCATTAACCAACAGATGCTGGTTTTCAGAACTTCTTTCTTTGCCTTTCTCTAAGCGTGTGTTTATAATCTTCCAGCAGTGCTACCAGGCTGAGCAGCAGCATGTGGCTTGGTGACGCGGGCCTGCCAGCACTTGGCCCTAGTCTGTGCGTCCTCTCCTGGGGCACAGGTGACTCAGGCACAAGAGGCTGGAGCTTTCTGACGCAGAATGTAGCACTGCATCAGGGCCGGCCGGGGCTGATTCATAGCCATTAGTGTCGCAGACCAGAGCCAAGCAGGAAGGAGTTGTTCCCAGTTCCAGGGGGGACTTAACAGTGGCGGGCAGCCTCTAGCCTGCTCCTTCTCACACACACACAACCCCCTCAAATGGATGTCAGGATGAGCACAGTTGACCTGTTGACGTTCCCTAACGACACCCTTCTGAGCTTCCAGGCAGACCCTCCTCCTGCCCACATGGCACCGCTACCCTCCCCCTCAGCCACAGTGGCCGCCTTGCTCTCCTGCAGTCCCATGGAACCTGGTCCCTCTCAAGATCTTGGCTCCAGCTCTCCCTCACCTGGAAGGTTCTGCCCACCTCACCCCGACCACCCCAAAGACAACGCCCACTTCATCCCAGTATTTGTCAGTAGCCAAAATCTGAAAATATTCCCGTGTGTTGGTTTTTACCTATTGTCAGCCCCTCTCCTCTAGAATGAGCTCCTTGCCAGCAGGGTCCTTGTCTGTCTTGTTCTTCAGAGATCCCCAGTGTTAGAATGGTGCTGGGCACATAGTAGGAGGTCAATAAATACTAAAAGAATACACGTTCCAAGACCTGGTTGGAGACTCCGAATTCAAGCAGCAAGATGACACCCACACAGTCTAAATACTGGCTTGGAATTTGGAGGTTGCTGAATTTTTTTCTAAAGCAGATGGGCAGAGCAGAACCCAGACCTGTGAACCGGAGGACATCTGTTTTCTGCTAGCCAGGATATTTCTAGAAATGCATTGAAGACCACTGCGGTCCCCATACGGAAGGCCACAGGGCCCTAAGAGGTGCCTTGAGACTCCATCCCAAGCTTCTCATCCCACAAAGACTAGGGAGACTGGGAGAGCCTCAGCGTCACACAGATACCCAAGGCTTACCATTCTTAGCTTTAGAGCCTCCAGCACTCCCAGCCCCCACCCTGCCGGCTTCAGTTTCTTTATCAATAAAGTGGGTTGAAACCTGATGGTTCCTGGAGCCAACCAGCCTCAACACCAGTTATGGAAAGACCCCAAATAGTAATTCAAATGGAATCAATAATGTATTTTAAGAGAAATGGCTTTAAAAAAAAATAAACTCAGCCAGGGGCAGTGGCTCACACTTGTAACCCCAGCACTTTGGGAGGCCAAGGTGGGTGGACCATCAGGTCAGGAGTTTGAGACCAGCCTGGCCACCACAGTGAAACCCCATCTCTTCTAAAAATACAAAAATTAGCTGGGCATGGTGGTGGGCACCTGTAATCCCAGCCACTCAGAAGGCTGAGGCAGGAGAATCACTTGAACCCGGGAGGTGCAGATTGCAGTGAGCCGAGATCGTGGCACTGCCCTCCAGCCTGGGCAACAGGGCTACACTATAAACAATAAACAAACAATTTGTTTGTCTCAATAAACAAACAAACAAACTCTCAGTGAGGATGAGTCTTTGTCCTGCGATATAGTGTATATTTCCTAAGGGTTATCAATAACCTACGACTCTCACTCCTACATTTGGCATTGTTTTTAATCCCTCAGGAGAAAAAAATTACCAAAACTTAGGTGGTCACTACTTCTGGTGAAATCAACTGCCTGTTTAGTAAAAAGACTCACAGACATTTGCTGAACACCCATCATATGCCAGGTGCTATGCTGGGTGCCTTGGACGGAAAGCCTTCCCAACTTCCAGCCAAGTTGGGTGGGCAGACACACGCGTTTAGCTCCACTTCCTTCTGAAGTCCCAAGAAATTATGGGAAAGAATTAAAGGGCACAAGATCACATTAATAAACAGAGAAGGAAATAAGAACATAGCCAATAGGAGATGTCAGCAAAATTCTGGAATCTGGAAAGCTGATGGGTAATTTATCACCCATGGGAGATTACAGAAGGTGGAAAGTTTGGTGAAGGGGCACAGCTCAGAAGCAAGTCCACTTGTGCCATGAATGCCCCCTAGAGCTTAGGAAATGGTGGTCCTAGGCATGGCAGAAGCCAAAAAAAAACAGTAGGGCTAAAACCAGGAGGAATCTTTGAAATATTTTACAAGTGTATAAAAGGAATTCTACTCCTAGATCCCATCCCTAACCACTGTAAGAAACCAAAAGTTTAATCCAAAAATCTTTGGACTTAGGGACAGCCCAGAGCAGGGTATCATGATAAAAATTTAGATACAGGTTAAGTATCCCCAGTATGAAAATTCAAAATCCAAAATGCTCCAAAATCCAAAACCTTTTTTGAATGGTGACACAACACTCAAAGTAAAGGCTCATTGAAGCATTTTGAATTTGGGATTTTCAAATTAAGGATGTTCAACTGGGAAGTATAATGCAAATATTCCAAAATCAAAAAAAAAAAAAAATCTGAATTCCAAAGCACTTCTGGTCTCAAGCAGAACAACATGCAAAAAATACAGAACAACAACAAAAAAGAACAAAGCAACAAAGAGCTATAATATCTTCAGTGAACACACACACACACATCTTGGAGCAGGTTGCTATAAACAAAGAATAACTGGAAAAGATGTCTTGAAAATTATAAATATCGCAGCAGAAAAAAATCAAAAGAAGGTTGGAAATTAAAGTCAAATAGTATTCCCAGAAATAAAAAAAAGAATTGAGAATTAGAATTAGAATTTCTTTTTTTTTTTTTTTTTTTTTCTTTTTGAGACGGAGTTTCACTGTTGTTACCCAGGCTAGAGTGCAATGGCGCGATCTCGGCTCACCGCAACCTCCGCCTCCTGGGTTCAGGCAATTCTCCTGCCTCAGCCTCCTGAGTAGCTGGGATTACAGGCACGCACCACCATGCCCAGCTAATTTTTTGTATTTTTAGTAGAGACGGGGTTTCACCATGTTGACCAGGATGGTCTCAATCTCTTGACCTCGTGATCCACCCGCCTCAGCCTCCCAAAGTGCTGGGATTACAGGCTTGAGCCACCGCGCCCGGCTAGAATTAGAATTTCTTAAAGGCAACACTAGAAGCTGGAAATCAGTGGAACAATGCTTCCAAAATCCTCAGAATGATTTAAACCTTGTGTTTTATACCCTGTACAACTATCAATCAAGTGGAAGAGCAGAATGGGACAATTTCAGGCATGTAAAGTTCTCAGAAAAATTGTCTCACATACTCCTTGTTCAGAGACCTGCTAAAAGATGTGCTCCCCCAAAATGAGGTAGTAAAACAAGAGAGAGGAAGCTAGAGATCCAGAAAAGAAGGGATCCAATCCAGAAGAGAGCAAAAGGAGTTCTGAAGATGAGCGTGAGTG